TATTTGATATAAAAAGATTTACTGTCTCTTACACTGGAGGCAATACAACACCATCATGGCTAGCAATCACCTACAACTTTATCCTCCTTATGAAGAATACACTAATTCTTGAGGTGGCTAGTGCCAGGCAGAGTGGTGGTGTTGTTTTAAAAGAGAGAGTGAAAAAAAACCCTGTACTGGATATTTGTACTCCATATTCTCCACAAAGTTTTATGATGAATGCCAGGTTTTTTGCTATGGACCACCTTTCCAATGAAAATACGAAATAATATGTCCTACCCCCTTTCTTACAGTGATATATCATTACATTTGCAGGAAAGTTGCTGCATGCTTTGAACACTGGCTGACTCAACAGAAGAGACAGATATATCTTGTTCCAGCCCTCGCCTGGGTGGTCTGATGTTATCCTTAAGATCAAACTCTGTAGCTGGAAAAGCTGGAGCTGTTGCTAGTGAAAATCAGTTCATGAATTTGCACATTTGTTCACAGAGAAACGTAGAAATGAAGTAACTCTTCTTTTTATCAAGCCGGGCAATTCAACACATTCTTTTATTCACCATCAATAGTTAGAAAACACTGCAGTCTAAGCAATGTTTGCAACCACTGCTTCTGTTCTGCCAAAAGCATTCAACAGGCACCAATAAAGACCTCACACAGAACTAAAACCACCTCATAGAATATTACATAGGGAAAAAGTTCTCAGCAATATTAGCTTCATAAAACGTCTCTTTGGTTTATTGTCCCAAGTCATGGTAGAAGTTCATCCACCCTCTTTTCAGAATTTTACACTCATAAAAATGCTTCTATCTTCAAGTCCTTTTATGCAAAAGAGCCCAACTTTATTACTTGCTCTCGTGATATCAAGATTCAAGATCACAATTTGGATATTTTATGAGAAGTTGTTATAATATTCTTAGCTTCAATTCCTTGATTTAACAATAATGAATTTCATTACATAGATATATTAGTTTTAGATTAGCTATTTTTCAATATTCTCCAGTAATAAGTGACATTTAAAAAGACATTCCTTTCTGGCAACTGTTATCCCAATACCCCTTTAGGGCAGTGTTTCTCAGCCTTGACAATTTTAAGGCATGTGGACTTCAACTCCCAGAATTCCACAGCCAGCATTGCTGGCTGTGGAATTCTAGGAGTTGAAGTCCACATGCCTTAAAATTGTCAAGGTTGAGAAACACTGCCTTAGGGTAATTCAATAACCTATGAGCTGCAACTCATGCAGATCCTGTTGCCCTCTACAGTATATTGCATTCACCCACAGAGCTATGCATCTCTTTCATTAAACCAATAAAATACGAAATTTAATTCATATAATTAAGAAATGGCTTATTTCTAGAAGCCTTCAAAAGGAAGAAAATCTAAAACTTATTAAGCCCAAAGTACATTAGTGCCATCTTCCCCTTCTCCAACTTCTGATGAAGTGGGTGAATGCATACTTTAAGACTCTAGTAACACAATCATAATGGAATAACACTAAAGGTTTTGGCATTGCAGAAAGTATGGAGAAATAAAGTTCTCCTCTTAAAAATGATATTTGATGGATCAACACATTATTAACTTTTGTCAAACCACCCAATAACTGAAGCTCTTGGCAGGTCATGCAGAAAAGCAAGTCCCTGTGATCAAGCACAGTTCAAGAAGATCCATTATAATTAATTTTTACTTGTGAAATAAACTTTAATCACTATTTGTTTGCTTTGCTCTTTTGTAAATGACACTAGCATCAAATGCTATTTTTATTCGAAGTGGAAAATATGTTTTTTTTTAAAATACCTGTTGTGTAAGAAGGCTGATGTGACTGGGTGGCGAATACTGTCTAGCTGCCTGCTTCTCTGCCAATCTCTGAAGTTCTGCTGCAATATCATGATTATAACGCTTGTTGTCTTCTGCATCCTTATTCATTCTGGCAGATACACCACGCTGTCTGCTTGGGCTGTGACTTCTTGATCCTGCTAAAGTGAGTGAAAAGTTTTATTTTGCCATGATTTTTTTCCCTAGCTGTAAGAAATATGCCTTCTGTGCAAAAATTGGCAAGGGACAGAAATAGTCGTGACAAAATAAAAACCAAGTGGTTTATATGAAAGATATTAATACACGATTCTCAATTACATTATGTATATTTCTATAGCTAAATTATACAGCAGTTTTTGCTTTCTTTCAAAAGTTTTATAAAGAACACAAACGACTTCTTTACAAAGTAAAGATAAAGAAGCGTGATAGGGAAATTAATTTATTGAAAAAAGGACAATTCAGAAAGTCAGCATGAGATAAGAAAAACAATAAAGCATAAAAAGAAGTTTTATTCCAAAGAAACCTTTGGTTAGATATTTATTAGTGCTATGTCAACTATTTGGAGGGATGCCTTAAGGAGCCTCTCCAAACCTTACTGCTCAAAGTACCAAGGCCCCATGTTGTTGTTTTAAAGCACAACCAAAACCCCAGCGGAATCAGAACTGATGCTGTACACATGCTTCTTTCCCTGCAATCCTAGCAAAAGTAAAGGGGGGGGGGCTAGCCCTGCTCTGTCACTATGGAAGTCCTTGAAATGGCCACCAAGGGCCTTTGAGAGAATACAGAATAATGATACTTGGAGCAATAGGTTCAGAAGAGTATGAAACAGCCCTCCATGTAGTTGGCACCGTCCCAATAAATTAGTGTACTACAAAAGGAAAATGAAACAAAACACATCACTTTGAAAACTATTCTTAGGTGAATAGGACAGTCCTTTTCAAAGTCTTAAAAACTTTGGGAGGATTATCAGGAAAACTATAACAATATGTGACACATTACTGTTACATGTGACAAATTAAAATTTTGAAATACCCTACAATAAAGAATAAGTTTACTCACATCTGGTTATAATTTATTGCGTATATTAACAATGTTTTTACTTCTAGACTACCTTTCTTTGAACTCATGTCATTCTGATCAGAAATATTAGATGTTTGTTGGTGGTGTTCTTTTTATATTTCCTCAATAAAATGAAATGTAAATTTAAAATATTTCTTTTTGAATCATATCAAATCCCACAAACGTGGACAGTCTCTAGTTTTTTCCCCCTTTTTTCTTTCCATAGTGTTTATATGTGCCATTTATTTCTTTTCTTTTTCAATTTTGTATATTTTTCTTTAACGTATGCCATTTGGTTTTGCCAAATTCGTACTGTATTTCTAAAAAGCACCTGAAATCTAAAGAAAAATAAGTTTAAAATAGCATTGAACCAAGAGAGTATTTTCAATAATGTAAAAATGAAAAGCACTACAGTAGCTGAACCACTTCTGAAAAATAATCCAAAAGGTTTATACGCTACATAAGAAAAAAATACTCCAAAGAAATACAAATCTGATGTCAAATGTTGAAAAACAGGTGGTCTGGTAACTGCATACTTCAATGCTATAAGCAATTACAGTGGTATCATGGTACTCAACTGCATTGAAACTCATTGTATTTGGTACTCAACACATTGTGACATGAAAATTTTGTCCCTGTCCTCACTGTTTGTTTAGTACTCAACGCACAAGCTAGAACTTGATGATGTTGGCTGCCTTGTGACTCACTACATTATTCCTTGTGGGAAAAATCTGTTCGGTATTCATCATTTTTGGTACTCATCATGCCTCCAGGAATCAATTAATGATAAAATAGCAAGGTACCACTGTACTGCTACTGAAATCAGTCACTGCCATGTGTGAATCAACTGATTGCTTAAACAAGACATCTACCTCAGTAGGTGGGAGCATGGGAGCTCATTCTTATTTAGACCAATCTGACATTTATTTCAATATTTGACATTATTGGGCTGTTTGCTGGTCTTTCCTCATCCTTTCCTAATAGAGACAAGGTCTAAGTAGGGGGATAAACACTTGCCCCTTTAAATGTTGGATTTCAATTCCTAGCAGCTCCAATCAATAAGAGTAATAGTTGGTGATGATTTGAACTGTAATCCAACAATATCTGAAGGGCCACCAGTTCCCTTCTCCATGGAAACAGGAGTTATTATTTCTTGGAAAAAAGCTAATAGTATCCAACCATTAAAATAATATTTTAAAAAACTGCTCCAGTATTATTTTCAGATAAGAGGTCTGTACACCAATAACATGGAAATCTGGCAAAACCTATCTGATCAAGAAAAACTCATTCAAAGAGGAAAATGTATAATCTGAAAGCAGAGCACACTGTTTGCAAAAGAGACACATTCCATCTTTGGCATCTTCAGGTAAAGATGCTAAAGGCTGTATTAGAAACTTGGGGCGCTTCTCCAAGTGACTTTCTAAACAATATTTAATTAGATTAATACTTTGATTGAGTATAAGGTTTCTTCCTATGTTTCTCTGACTGCTAGGATTTAGTGAAAGTAATACCAAAAGCCCCATTATAAAGAAGTTCAGAAGCCTCTCTCATTTGTACTGCCAATGAAGAAAGTACTTGTGTGCATGATATTCTACAGTATACCTATTGTCCAGTCACTGCAATAACATTCACAAGCAATTATTATTCCAAAGAAAAAATATTAATCTTTTGGGATGTCAGTCCACTTTATTAGTTGCTGCCTGATACCTTGCCCTATATAAATAACCACTACTCAGTCTATTGGAGTCTATTGCCCAATTGTGTCATGATAAAACAACAATAAGATTAGAGAGACATGATCACCCTATTCTTTGTTTCTGCAAGTTGCCTAAGAATCAACAATTTTTTTTTTTCATACATGTCTTAATACTCAAGAACGAGGTCCCCAACCCCTGGGTTGTGGCCCAGTACTGGGCTATGGCCCATTTGGAAATGGGCTGCGGAAGTGATGGGCAAGTGTGAGTGAAGTCCCATTACTCATGTGGAACCATCCCCTCCCCTCCCCCCACCCCACCCACCCCCGCCGGTCCACAAAACTGGAAAGGTTAGGGACCACTGCTATAGAAGATAACTGGAGGACAATTCTGAATTAGATTAGATATAGTTATTTTTCAAATAAATATCTCATAAGGAAAATAAGAATTTATCCAACTCAAAACTTGCACAATTAATTCAAATGGTCTTGGATATTAAAATATAAAAAAAAATATTACAATAGTGTGCCAGCTGAGCATCAGTCTACCTGCTTTTGCTGAGGATGGTCGGGTCAGTCTCTGGCTGTAGATTTGCATGGCAGTCTGAAAGGAAGAGAAGGGGCTGACAGTGTAACTGCCAGACCGACAACGTTGTAAGCTTGTACTGTTTGAGGATGGGCGGGACACATTTTTTGCTGCATTAGACAAGTTGTCAGGTGCTGCATTGTGAGAAGAAGGGGGAAATGTCGCTCTAGAACCTGATGAAAGGGAAGGGGTTGAGTGATAATCAGGCAACTGTACATTCTCACAGGCAGCAGGTTGCGAGGACAATGGCATACTGATGCTTTGTGGGAGCGTGGTACCATGAGTAAAGGAAGAAGTGCTAAGAACGCTGAATTGCGGTGTATTCTCTCCATCTTCCGTTGACGAAGGAACACCTAGTAAAGGGAGAAGAAAAAAATCAAGGCAATCAGGGCAATTCATATTTTTCAACTGGACACATCAAAAACTTCCTTAGTTGCACTACTTTTTACAGGCTTTAGATTTTTTTATATAGCATCTGAATTTTCAACAATTTCATAAAAGAACTCTAATAGCTAATAAAAATATTTCTCAATATATTCTAGCCAGTCTGTATTTATATTGTTAATTTTATCATTTTACTATGATGTTCTCCACATGGATACTCAGTTTTCCATTTAATAATAATTAAGATACTCAAAGGTAGAATAGTACTTATTCCCAATTATTTGATTCTTGCATGTAATATTTATAAATAGTACTGCATCAATTACAACATTTGTTCTTTACAGTAAATTAAAACAGTATTCATAAAGTCAGTCTCATACATGAAACAGTCTATGATACTTTTTAACTACTGCACAACATTTCTACTGGTTTTATATCAACAGTATAGTATACTGCTTAGCATATTAAAAATTCCCCCAAAGGTTTTTGTGTATTCAATGTTCATGAAAATGTTTAACTTAAAATGCATTGTGGAAAGGATTAAAAATATTAGAGCTTATTTCATTGATCCATCCATTTGTTATACTAAGCAGTATCAATACAATAAAATATTGTAAAGAAATATACTATTAACTCTAAATTAGAAATTAGAACTCTAAATTTGAAAAAAAAATATAACTGTTAGTATCTTGACAGATTCACTATGAGTCTAAATTTATCTGAATACTCTTGTCTGTCTGTCTGTCTGTCTGTCTGTCTGTTGTCTGTCTGTCTGTCTGTCTGTCTGTCTGTCTATCTATCTAATATTTTTATCACATTTATAAAGCTGCCATATATCCAGCAAAACCCTGGGTGGCAAACATAACATATAAAACATCAACAATAAGAAAACACATACAACAACACAAAAAAAGGCTAGGTCAAGACCTCTTATAAAAATATCAGGACAGCTATGTCATGGGAAGAGGCAAGTCTTCACACACCTTCTCTGGGTGGAGGTTGTTCCATAGAGAAGACACCATGACAGAGAAAGCCAACAAAAAGCCATTAAAGTTTTGTCAGAGTCTAACTATACAAATTTACTCTTTTTCCAATTTTCTTACTGGGTAAACTAGTTCCTTTGGGTTGGTCAACTTTTGGCTGCTCTACTACATTTTCCTTCTCCACTGGAAGTTGGGACTGCTTTTTTTCATTTTTTCCCATCTTTTCTGAGTTATCTGAAAAGAGTTTTCAAAATTAGAAGAAAAATAAGCAGCGTATGATAATGATTTTCAGTATGACATTTTCTAAAATAATGTTAGATTAATTGCATTTGCAAATTATATATATACTATATATTACACTAAAAATGCGAATCCCGGGTATATTCATGTTGAGAAAAGTAGTCAAACACCGGGATAAATATAAAAACAACTGTTTAATAAACTAACAACTAGTTTATTAAACAGTTGTTTTTATATTTATCCTGGTGTCTGACTACTTTTCTCAACATATATATATGTATGTATATATGTATAAAACATATATATGTTTTCTTTCAAATAAGAAAGAAAAACGAACACCAGGATATAATAAACCAGACTGTTTAATATAAACAAGCCTGTGGTTAAAAAAGGTCACTAAGCTTTCGTCAGACCAAACTACCGACGTCATCAGAGTTGGAGTAAAAGGAGATCAGGAAGGCAGCTCATATAACCTCCTGCCTCTGCGCCCGGCTCCTTGAGCATGTCATTGGCCCGTTGATTATATTAATCCGTACCACACAGAGTTGTTCCGCATCAGGCAAACTGTCCTTGGCTCCGCTAGTTGTTTTACAATCCTCAAGTGCTCTTTTAGAGCGTGTGCAAGCACTTGGAGGGCGGCTGTCAACCGGTCCTGCGCCCAGTCTCCCTCCCTCCCAGGGCCATTATCCTCCCCACCGCCAAGGCCGTTGTCGTCTCCCCCGTAATTCCTCCGCCCCAGTCCTACAAAAAGCAGCTGTTCCGGCATTCCTGCTCTGCGTCTTCCCCCTCCCTCCCCCTCCTTCCAGATCGCCTCTGCCCGTCCGTCCCTGGCTTAGGGCCATTTGGTCCATCATCTCCGCCCATATGTGGGCCCATATGTCCAGCTTTGGCCACACGTTCGATCTAGCTAACGCAGAGGTTATAGCTCGTGAGACTACCAAGGGTGGCCGCCTACTCAAGGAAGCCTGGCTCTCTGATGAAAATTCCATCAACCGGCATATAGATCTTTTCCCAGCTTATCAGACTGTTAGGGGATGGGAAAGACAGTGCCACGGTCTGCTGAGAAGACACTCAACTCTTCCTTCACAGGATTGGGGCAGTAGAATGATGGATGAGATGGGCACGATCCCTAAGGAGGACGATGACCTGGTTAAAGGGAAAAACCAGAGATCGAAACAATGGGACAGCATCTTGCATAATTGGGACGATGGCTCTACAGGTCAGGCGACCACGACTCCCATGGGTGGAGATGACCGACCAAATGGTCCTAAGCCGGGGATGGATGGGCAGAGGCGATCTGGAAGGAGGGGGAGGGAGGGGGAAGACGCAGAGCAGGAATGCCGGAACAGCTGCTTTTTGTAGGACTGGGGCGGAAGAATTACGGGAGAGATGACAACGGTCTTGGGGGTGGGGGAGGATAATGGCCCTGGGAGGGAGGGAGATTGGACACAGGGGCCGGTTGACAGCCGCTCTCCAAGTGCTTGCACACGCTCTAAAATAGCACTTGAGGATCGTAAAACATCTAGCAGAGCCAAGGACAGTTTGTCTGATGCAGAACAACTCTGCGCGGTACGGATTAATACAATCAACGGGCCAATGACACGCTCAAGGAGCCGGGCGCAGAGGCAGGAGGTTATATGAGCTGCCTTCCTGATCTCCTTTTACTCCAACTCTGATGACGTTGGTAGTTTGGCCTGACGAAAGCTTAGTGACTCTTTTTAACCACAGGCTTGTTTGTATTAAACAGTCTGGTTTATTATATCCTGGTGTTCGTTTTTCTTTCTTATTTGGTTAACATAATGCCCAGGATTTGCATTTTTAGCATTTTAAAAGATAGGTAGGTAGGTAGGTAGGTAGGTAGGTCGATCGATCGATCGATCGATCGATCGATAGATAGATAGATATGGTTGGTTGGTTTGGAGACTGCTGAAGCCAAAAAGACCCCAGGCAACTTACAATGCACACACACACACACAAAAAAACCAAATAATAAAATGCATGTGCATCTGGAAAATAGCCAAACAAATTGGAAACTAATATAAGAGATAAATAAAAGCTTGGCATCCAACCCCAGGCTTGGGAACAAAGTCACTTTTCAACAAGTTCCAAAACAGAACAGAAAATAGGGGGGGGGGAATTAACAGGGGATGCTGTTCCAGAAGGTAGGTACCACAACAAAGAAAACATACTGCCTAGGTCCTGACAGATAGTATTAAGGAGAGCTGGAGAATGCTCACTCTGCTCAATCTCATCGAATGGGCAGAGATAATCCCTTAGATAGCCAGGCTCTACGCCATGTAAAGCTTTACAATGATAACTAGCAACCTGATTTGCACCCAAAACCCAATTAGCAGCCAGTGAAGGTAGCAAAGCAGGGATGATATATAAGCATTACATGATGTGCCTACAGTACATTCAGAAAGTATTCAGATCCCCTTCACTTTGGTCAATTTTGTTATGCTGCAGTCTGATTCTATAGTTGTTGAAATTCATTTTTTTCTCATTAATGTACACTCGGTACCCCATAATGACAAAGTGAAAACAGAATTTTAGAAATGTCTGTAAATTTATTAAGAAAAAAAAATCTGAAATATCACATTGCCATAAGAATTCAGGCCCTTTGCAACAACACTTGAAATTTAGCTCAGGAGCCTCCCATTTCTCTTGATCATTGCAGACATGTTTCTACACCTTGATTGGAGTCAACCTGTGGTAAATTAAATTGATTGGACATGATTTAGAAAGGCACACACCTCTCACAGCTGACAATGCATACTGTAGCAGAGCAAAAGCCATGAACTGCCTGCAGAGCTCAGAGATAGGATTATTGCAAGGCACAGATGTGGGGAAGGCTACAATAAAATTTCTGCTACAGTGAAGGTTCCTGAGAGCACAGTGGCCTCCGTAATTCTCAAATGGAAGAAGTTTGCACAACTAGGACTCTTCCAAGAGCTGGTTGCCTGCTCAAACTGAGCAATCAGGCAAGAAGGGCCTTAGTAAGAGAGGTGACCAAGAACCTGATGGTCACTCTGATTGAGCTCCAGAGATTCTGTGTGGAGACGGGAAGAGATCCAGAAGGACAACCATCACTACAGCCCTCCACCGATCTGGGCTTCATGGCAGAGCGGCTAGACAGAAGCCTCTCCTCATCGCAAAACACATAAAAGCCTGCTTGGAGTTGGAAAAAAGCACCTGAAGGACTCTCAGACTGTGAGGGACAAGACTCTCTGGTCTGATGAAACCAAGATTGAACTGTTTGACCTTAATACTAAACATTATGTCTGGAGGAAACCAGGCACTACTCATCACTTGCCCAATATCATCCCAACAGTGAAGCATGGTGGTGGCAGTATCATTTTTAGCAGCAGGAACTGGGAGACTGGTCAGGATTGAGGGAAAGCTGAATGGAGAAAAGTACAGGGATATCCTCAAAGCAAACCTGTTCCACAGAGCTCAGGACCTCAGACTGGGCCGAAGGTTCACTTTCCAACACGACAACGATCCTCAGCACACAGCCAAGACAACACAGGAGTGGCCTAGGGACAACTCTGTGAATGTCCTAGAGTGGCCCAGACAGAGTCCTGACTTGAACCCTATTTAAACATCTCTGGGGGGGGGGACCTGAAAATGGCTGTCCACTGATGGTCACCATCCAATTGACTGAGCTTGAGAGGATTTGCAAGGAAGAATGGCAGAAAATCCCCCAATCCAGGTGTGCAAAAAAAGACTTGAGGCTATAATTGCTGCCAAAAGTGCTTCAACAAAGTACTGAGTGAAGGGTCTGAATACTTATGCCAATGTGATATTTCAGTTTTTTCTTTTTAATAAATGTACAGACATTTCTAAAATTTTGTTTTCACAGAAGTGTAGATTAATAGAGGAAAAAAAAGAATTTCAACAACTGTAGAATCATGCTGCAGCATTACAAAATTGATAAAAGTGAAGGGTGTCCAAATACTTTCTGAATGCATTGTATCACTGCCTTATTACTACATTCCACAATTGCTGCAGCTTCAAGGTCAACTGCCTGTAGAGTGCATTGCAAGTAATCCACCTGAGAAGTGACCAAGGAGGAAGGAGAGAACCATAATAAAATAGTACTTCCCATCCCTCAAATCCCACAGTTTGTCCAGAAGGATACTGTGGTTGAGTGTATCAAAAGTCAATGGAAAACAAGAAGCACAAGGATGGATGTATCACCCTCATCCCAGCTCTGTCAAACATCATCTGATTAAGATAACAGTTATTGTCATTTTTTTACTGTGGGCACATTGGCACACATTAAAAATAAAATTCTGTTGCCTGCTCTCAAAAGTGTATACATAACTAACATATAAACATGCTATATACAACATACGTATTATACCTACACCCTTACATATAAATATATATATAAATATTAATCACTGTCCATCTTGAATACATAGTGGAAAGAGGAAGGTTAATACTGTATGGAACAAAACTGGGACTGAATCTGGATGTTCTGCTTTGGGTACCATGAAGCCTCCTCCCAGAAGATAACAAGGAAAATAGGTTGTGAAGAGGATGTATAGTGTCCCAGACAATCCTGCGGACCCCTGCTCAAGCAACACTTATATGCTGTTTTGGATAGAAGGGACTGAACTGCCAATAATCTTTTCTGCCATCCTCACCACTGTCTGTACCGCCTTCTTGTCTCAAGCAGTGATGCTTCCAAACCAGACTGTAATGCAGTATGACAGGATGCTCTCAAGTGCTCTTACCACTTTCTACCTCTGTAGAAACTGGTAAGGATAGGGGAAGGAAGATGTACTTTTCTCATGCGATGCAGAAAACGCAGGTGCTTCTGTGCCCACTTCACCAGTGTCTCCTGTTGAGCAAGAACCCTGGCCTGAAACCTGACTAAAATAGATCCACATAATCTGTTTCCTCCAAGACGTTCTGCAACTACTGTCTGGCCATCGTCTCAACTAGCTTCTCTGAAAAGGGAAGATGGAAGACTATATAATAGCTATCTGGCAGTGTTGGATCCAGCACGGGCTTCTTCAGGAGGAGGTTCACTACAACGTCCTTCAAAAAGAGGGGGACAGTCTCCTTCTTCTCTGATAGCATTGCATGGACCAACTACAGGTCATTTCCCAGGCAGCTTTAATAACTCAGGAAAGCCCAAGATCTTTGGGCAAACTCATAGACTGGAAGACTTTGTTCACTTCCTCAGGAATCACAGGCTTAAACTCAGTCCAGATGATCCCACAAGACTGTGCCCCAGGCACTTCAACAGAAAGAACCCAACACTGAGTGAATCCAAGTGACTTTATCAGGAAAAAGCAAGAACATTCCTCATTTGCTTCTTTACAATTATACTGAAGGTAACAGAAATGGATACTCACTGCCTTTGTTCCTGTTTTCCAATTGGCTATTACTATGCTTCGTAGCTCCAGGATTTGTTCCCAGGAAGACACTTGCTGATTTATTCTTGTGTGTGTAAAAAGTCAGTACCTCCTCAAGATCACTTTCACTAAAATGAGAAAGGGTGTATACAAGAATAAATGGCCTAACTTTACAATGTGGTGATGCAGCTGCAACAGATACTATAAGGTATTTGAAAGGAAGCATGGAGAGGGTAAGGGGGAAAGAAAGAAAAACTGGAAAGAACTAAAAGAAAAAAAAGATGTTTTTGTTAAGCTTGGTAAAATTCCATACTGCATTTAAGGAAAGTAATACTTCTAATTGTCCAAAAGCTAATAATAAAAATGTTAGCTATTATTTCTATAAAATGTATAGTGTCATTTTGATTAGTAGTTAAGGCACCAGGCTAGAAACCGGGAGACTGTAATTCTATGCTAACTTTAGGTACAAATCCAGCTGGGTGACCTTGGACTAGTCACTTTCTCTCAGCCCTAGGAAGGCAGCAAGGACAAACCACTTCTGAAAAACCTTGCCACAAAACCTACAGGGACTAGTCCAGACAGTTGTCCAGAGTCAACACTGGCTTAAAGGCAACCCCACCCCAAACAGAACTGCAGCATTGCATGTTTCTTATGACAAAATTACTGTTAAAAATTCCATAGCCTTCTCTGTAATTTAAACACTACCTCTCTAGAGCTATATTTTACCATCTTTGTTGCAAAATGGATTTTGCCCCTTCTTTAGGGCCATGCTACAGTGAAAACAGAGAAAGAAGGAAAATCCCAGAAGGATATAATCCTCTTATCCACAGTGGAATACATCCAATTCTATTTCCCTTTGAAAAATTACAATACTTTATTACTACCACTAAACAATTGTACTAACTAGCCACAAGCTCAGTACAGGTTAGTATACAAAGCAGACTTTTGGGTCTGAAGAATCAAGGTAGGTTTTGCATTCATGAAAAACACAGAAATAAATATAATAATCATCTGACATTCGGGAGAATAAAAAAGCAATACCTTCAAAAAGTTTCAAATTGGTCTCCAATAAGAGACAATATAATTCTTGTTCTAAATGCTTAATTCATACCTTGCTTTAGTGATAAATTCGTGAAAGCCTTCCTCATCTACCCCCTCTTCTTCCTCTTCCTCCTGTTTCTTCATTGCCTTTTTCTGAGACATTTGATCTGTTTCCTAAAAATCAGCAACAAGAGATTGCTGGACAAAAATCTGGATAGATACAGAACTTGCCATAGGTTTACTTAAATATCTAGGTTTTTTTCAGTTAGAGAAGCAAAATATTGTTCCACTATGAGATCTATTTGGGCTTTGCATGCATTTTGCATGTACTTTTTATTCTGCATCTACAAACTAAAGAATAGTAAGCCAAAAACTTTGTGGATAAAGGTGCTTTTCTAGTTCTGTTAATTATGGAGGTTATAAATTGATAAAAACAATTACTGAATGATATCTATAACAAATTACTGTGAAACACATACATCATGCAAACATTACAACTGAATACTTATATTAGATCAGATACAAGTGCATTAAGTTATTGCATTTCTATGATATCATCATTTGTCATTTGTCCCCCTTTCTTACTGTCTTCCCAAGACACCATTGCACTGAAGAAGATATTAGTAATGTCAACAGAATCCAGTACTGAATTTACAAATATTGTGCATCTCAAGAATTTTGAGCACTAATGTACTTCATATTGCAAAACATGAAGTAACTTCAACTTTCATTTAAAGACCTATTACTAAATAACCCTGGCCATTTAAATTAGTTTCTACTGAAGCATAATTGCATTTAAAAAAAACCCAACAAAAATAGCAAAATGACTAGAGACTTCCGGTTCCGGTACGCGGCGACGCCGGTCGCGTCTGGGGACTTGTCTTCAGTCCGGCCGGGTTTTCTGCGTCGGTAGACCCCCTAGGGGGTCGAAAGTTGCCCTGGAGGGGCAACTACCGAGAAGGAGGCTTGCTGGTGACTGCGGGAGAGCGGCAGCTTCTCCCGTGGTCCCAGCTATTTCCTTAGGCCCGACGGAGCAACGATCGTCCTGCAAGATGGCCGATTATCCTGCTGCACCAGCCGAAGTCACATTTACAACTAAGCGACATTAGACCCACCGTGGAGGATCCGGGTGAGACCCTTTTAGCCCCTCTCTCTCCCCTGCTTGGTTCTGTTTGCCTGTGAGAACTTGGATGAAATTATTTCCCTGTCTGGAAGAAGCAGCTTTTGTGTGTGTGGGAAGAGAAGCGTTGAGAATAATTTTTTTTTAAAGTTTATACTTTATTTTCAGTTATTTTGGGATACAAAAAAAAGAGAGAAAAAGAAAAAAAAGCTTTTTCGAATTGTATTAGTAGTTATATTGGAAGATTATTTCTTTCTCCACTTTTTCCTTTAAAAGAGAGAAAAAAGGAAAAAAAATGGTGTCTGGAAAGGATTTTTTATTTACTGAGGACATCTTGTGGTGAAAAGTTAATGTTGCAACTATTTTTTGGATAGAAACCTGACCTTCAGATTATTTTTGGAAAAGATAGGCTGGTGCAGCTGTGGGAACTGAGGGGGTGGACACTGTTTAATTACAGCCCTCTCTGAAAAAATAATAATAACAATAAAG